TAAGGTTCCAGTGCTCATGGTTGGCTTGTTAAGGTTGCAGTGCTCATGGTGCCGTTACTTAGTATCAGGTCTGGCTTGTTAAGGTTCCAGTGCTCATGGTTGGCTTGTTAAGGTTGCAGTGCTCATGGTGCCGTTACTTAGTACCAGGTCTGGCTTGTTAAGTTAGTTAGATTACTTTTACATTTATTAGTTTAGCTGATGCATTTGTAAATTCTTTATAAAGCTGTACTGTTTTACATTTGGGGAGAAGTATACTGCTTAGGGAGGGTGAATTGAGGCCAGGAGAGGGACCTCTGTCTTTATGAAATATAGCCCTTAATCACTGAGGCTGGGCTACAGTATTACTGGCTAGTTATTACTTTAAGAATGATATCACATTTTTCATTTGATTTAAGGAACTTTTTGCTTGCGATTTATCTTACAACTGAAGTAGAGTTACGCATTAATTTCAGATTTTATTAGAGAGGTAAAAAATGGAAAGGCAAACAAATTGCTGCTGGTTAAGGTTTTGGGAGAGTGAGTATTGCAATCATGGAGTCAGTGAGGCTTTTGAGAACCTGGCGTCAGTATTCAGGTGATGTAATTGCTTCAGTACATGAGATGCAAAGCAGTGATATGTGAGTATCTCAGCTCAGAATGGACGGACTGACGACAAGGAAACTCCATGGGCTTATCATACCATAACATCCATAATGTCTTGCTGGGAGACAATAATGTCCTAGAAGCATTAGCCCAAAATGCCAGGAAGCAACCTGGAGACTTGCATGTACAATAGAGCAGCATTCAGAATTTTGCTGGATGGCCGACTTATCGTTGCTGGGTCATATAACAGCACGGCTTGCTTTTATATATTTTATATATATTGCTTTTATATATTTTATATATATTGTTTGCATATTTCTTGTACTGTTGCGTGAATATCAGCGCATTAAATAAAACACACTGGGTTTTTGTCAGTGACACCATTCTTGGTGTTTTAGTGTGGCCAGCCCTCCGGCGGAATGCTCTCTGGTAATGACACCCAGCTGGCTGTGCGGAAACTGGACTTGAACTGTTATAAAATCCTGCTTAGACTGAGAGACAGAGAAGAGAGGGTGAGGAGAAGGAGAGACACTCCTCCACCATCTCCCTTAATATGAAAACAGACTCTTTCAGTTAGCTGGCACTTTTAGTTTGGTGGACCAGCTGAACTTTGTAACGACTGGGATTTTTTTTTTGTTTTCACTCTTACTTTGTGTCCATATAATTTTTTTCCAGTGCCCAGGTAATGGAATAATTAATGTTGATATCAATCAAATGTCTGTGGTTTACAATAGATTATTTTTTGAGTGAATTCTCTAATATTGTCTAGTTACTGTATTTGCTACCCGGACTTGCTTTGCTTTCACAGTCTGCTCTCCAGGAGCGCTGCGAGTTTTATGACGCAATGCTTCTGTTGCAGTGATATGGCTTGCTTGAACTTGGGGACTTCAAACACCTAAGGACCTTTGAAACACATGCTTTCAGAGTGTTTTTGCATGCATTTCCAGCTGCTTAAAAGGACACTGTGGTGAGTTATTAAGTTTTGAGCAGTTGATTGGATTTTTATGAAAGCTAGGTGGCCTGAGCAGTGTCGTGGTCTGAAGAGTGCAACTGATTACTTTGGACAGTGACTGCAGTGCCCTTTTTAGAAGAATGTCCACCTGTTGTCTAAACTGAACCCTACGCATTCTTCTTGTCTATAGTAATTTTTTTGCAATGCATGTTGAAATGATAATAGTAGGGTATAATAACAAAACATTAACTTCAAGTAGTAGATTATTGCTCTCTGGTTTCAGATTATTAATCTATCTGGCAGTTGATGTCTACAGTCTTACATCGTACCTTTTGTTTCTTTACATGGGAAAAAGATTTTTTCCACCGATGCTTAGATATGGCTTTTGGCAGATTTTTGGGGAATAATTATGCAAAAAACAGGTCCCGCTTAGAGCAGTCCCCTTTATTGCATATGAGTGATATTTCTCCTAATTCATCAGACGTGTGCAGTGCAGCTGTGCGTCTGCACACAGATGTTTCTCCTCCTGATGAAAACACTGTCCGTTTGCCAAACTCATTTTAAATAGCATTGGACTACCAGGTTAACAGGCCTGAAGATTTGGAGGGTTAGGGTTATGGTTACACACGCGTCTTGGGCTACGGGCTGCAGGAGACTGACACACGCGTCTTGGGCTATGGGCTGCAGGGGACTGACACGTGTGTCTTGGGCTATGGGCTGCAGGGGACTGACACGTGTGTCTTGGGCGATGGGCTGCAGGGGACTGACACGTGTGTCTTGGGCGATGGGCTGCAGGGGACTGACACGCGTGTCGGGCTACGGGCTGCAGGGGACTGACACGCGTGTCTTGGGTGACTGGCTGCAGGGGAATGACACGCGTGTCTTGGGTGACTGGCTGCAGGGGACTGACACGCGTGTCTTGGGTAACGGGTCATCAGGAGGAATTCCAGAGCTAACAAAGACGACACTTGGCATTCCCTCCATCCAGCAGGGCTTTGTTCCAGCAGCCGTCCTCCACGGGACGTCATCTCTTCTCCATAAGCCAGCTTATCCTCCACTGTTTTATTATAAATTAGACCCACATTCAAACTGTGCCCTCTGGCTTGGATTTCTTTCCATTATACACTGTTTCATAATCATTCTGATTACGATGATTCCTGTAAGATGATTGCCACAGCCATAGATTAATAATTCTGTTCTTTGGAAAATTCATCATGTTTGCCAGTTGATTAGACTTATTGGTGACTTTGTCTTGCTGGAATACTGGTTATGCAGTGGGTGGTTGGATCAAATGGGGCCTTGGTGATGGTCCTAAGGCCGGGCCTGGAGCAAGGGGTGGCAGTGTGTCTCAGGTGCCAGAAGCAGAAGGCCGACTGGCTGCATCCAGCTGTGGTCTCCTGGGCACTCACTCACTAAAGCATGTCACCCTGCTGCCCCCCACCCCCCCAGGCCCTCCTTAGGGACGCCCTCTCAGCCGGTACACACCACTCTGGGGTTTTTTTTTTTTACCTTGAATTCTGAGTGAAATGCAGATTCCAGCTGGGAAAGTCCAGTCTCTGCTGGTCATCCTCAAGTGTGAGAAGGTTTAGGATGAGCTGCTGATCTTCCTTAAGTGTGAGAAGGTTCTGTGTGACCTACTGGTCAACCTTCTGTCCTCCACACCAGGCATATAGATGATTTCTAATTA